TCAATGTTTACATACTGTGTCTTAGGCTAACCCAACAGTGAACAAGACACAATACAATGTTCTGTGGGATAAAGCAGGATGGGAGTGGAGTGAACAAATCTGAGGCCTCTTGAGTATTCATATTTTGAACTTGGTCTGACCTAAGAAATGAAGTAAGGCTGGGAATTGAGCATTCAGAGAAACATCAGTGGACCCATGTGGAGCAGCTAGAGAGAGAGAGAGAGAGAGAGAGAGAGAGAAGAAATAATGGGGTAGACAGGAAAATGGGGCATCACCTCTCAAAGTGGTGAACCAGCATGGAAATGAAAATGTTAGAAAATGGCTTTTTCTTCTTTTCTACCATAACCAATGCTTGTTAAATTGGATTGTTACACTTTTTGACTAAACTAGAATAACCAGGCTGGAAACTGGAAGATGCTCCACCTTAACCATTTTAAGATGAGTTAGGCAATAAAAGCTGTCAAAAGTGATTGTGGTAGAACCATCTCTGAGATAGCTGAGACTAAAGCAGATACCTGTCTGTTTCAATGATTTGGGAGCATTCCAATCTCAAAGAGTGAGATCAGAGATTCACACGTGTTTCCTGAATGATGGGGCAGAGAAACATCAACAAGATCAAAATCTATACAAGTGACTTCTGAAAGAAAAACACTGATTTTTCCCAAAGATTATAGTTACCCTCTTTTTTTGAGAGGATCAGGGGCTTATTTTTTCTTTTTTCTCTATAGATTATAGTTACCCTCTTTTTTTGAGAGGATCAGGGGCTTATTTTTTATTTTTTTTTAAGATTTTATTTATTTATTCATGAGAGAGAGACAGAGACAGAGACAGAGACATAGGCAGAGGGAGAACCAGGCTCCATGCAGGGAGCCTGATGTGGGACTCAATCCCGGGTCTCTAGGATTACACCCTGGGCTAATGGCGGTGCTAAACTGCTGAGCCACCCAGGAATCCCTTATTTTTTCTTTTAAAAAGTACACATGCGGGATCCCTGGGTGGCACAGTGGTTTAGCACCTGCCTTTGGCCCAGGGCTCAATCCTGGAGTCCCAGGATCAAGTCCCACGTCAGGCTCCCGGCATGGAGCCTGCTTCTCCCTCTGCCTGTGACACACACTCTGCTCCTCTCTCTCTCTCTCTCTCTGTCTCTCTATGTCTATCATAAATAAATAAATAAATCTTTTAAAAAAAAAGTACACATGCAAACACACTTAAAGATAATGGGAAATAGAGGCTTTATCCAGGTCATCAAGAATGAGAGAATCCAAATGGTTAAAGCACAATAGTTTTTTTGCTTGAATTAATCAAATAATTACTATACCTGTTTATTTCATTTTACTTGTTTGAACTTGTTTCCAAAATGATTAAAATTTTACTTATAATTACTATAGTCACATAGAATTTTCTAGATCAAAATAAGTATGACTGAAAAGGGATTAAATGATTTTTGTACTAGAAATCATAGAAATTTTCATTAAGGTAATTGCCTTCTTTGAAGATACTGATTTTAATTAACATTACATTGCTCAGTATCTTGTTCTACTTGTTTTTAAAGAAATGCTTTAATTTAATAAAGAGTGTTCTTTCATGTCCCAGAAATACTTCCATGTAGTGGAATTAAGACATCTTCACTTATGAAATGAAGTAAGCAGAAAATATGACATGATAAATATAAGTACATAAATATAACAAAACACATAAGAACCTACAATGTAAATTCTCTCTTATATGCAAAGAATGACTCAACATGATTGTCACTTATATACAGAATATATGTTTTCATTTAATGATACCACTTCCTTATGCTTTTCTCTAACACGAAAAAATGGTTTGTTAGAAATATAAACATTTTACATAAAGATATCTTCTGCTTTCAAATGCACTAAAGATTTTATGTGGTCATTTATTATTATTATTATTTTTAATGTGGTCATTTAAAGGAAAGATTGTTCCGTACAAATAAATGTAAAATCCCTGGTGATTTTTCCCAACTAAGATTTGAATTCTAGTAATATTCTATTTTGATTTTTGTTATAACTTTTTTCCCTACTTGATGTATATATGCATTTGAGAGGCAATACTGTCTTTGTAATTATAAATCCATATTTCCGTTTACACAAGCAGGTACAGTAAATGTCTTCTTATTTTAATTGAAGGATTCAATATAGTATTGTCATCTTTAAAGAATGTCTAAGGAATTTTAACAGCATGTTAAATAAACAAATGCAATAATAAAATGTACAGAACAAATAAAGAGAATGAGTAGATTCTGGTTGTTTGGGGAAAGGCAATTTGCTTAACTTTAATGCAAATAGAAATTAAAGCACTCATTTGAATAAATACATATAACCAAGAGGGCTAGGTCAACTTAGGAATCTTAAGAAGAATTTATGGCCTTCTGCCTGGGGAAGATGCCAAGGGCAGTCCTGATGTCCCAGCCTAATAAATGTGCTGATTCTCGAAGGAAGTGACCAGGCTCATTGCAGAGCAGACTAAGAGCAGGGTACTTTGGTAAGTGTGAGAAGTGCCCTGGCACACAGGCACTCACAGTAGGTAAGGACCACCCAGAATCTAAGTGGAGTTAACTTTTGTTTCTCAATGAGACTGGCCAGGTCAGTGTGGGGGGTCAATGTCTTGCACTTTTTAAGAATAATCCACTTAACTCTTCTCAGCCATGATCTCAAGTGACAAAGTTGAGAACACATCAGCACGGAAGAGAAAGTCTGTTCCTTTTGTCCAGGCCTAGTAGAATATGCAGATGAGAAAGACCAAGAGAGCCAGAGCCCAGAGAGAGCAGGAGTAAGAAAGAGGCATGGAGGAGGGGGAGAGCGGGCAGGGAGATGGAGGGAGAGAGGCAGAGAGTGAGACAGAGAGACAATAGGCAGACCCAGAAGTGGACTTTAGCGCCGAACCTTCCTGTTGTGGGTATTTGGCCATCGCTTAGGGGGAAGGTGTGATAAGAGTAGAGAGTCACAGGCAGTGCCTGGCTGACCCCACCTCAGGTGACACTCAGAGACAGTGTAGCCAGAATGAGGATTTCTGCTTGCTTCCTCCTTCACCTTCTTGCCTTTCTCTATCTGCTCTGGCTCCCTGCTACCCCGGGTTCCCAGTTCACCTGTTTCTGGCTGCAAGCCTCCTTGACCCTGCCTACCCTCCCAGTACTGAACGCTCTGCGTTGGCCTGGGGGCCTCTCCCCATTGGCTCCCCAGTGCCCGGGGCTCCCTGACTGCACCCTGGGAGAACAAGCAAGGGTGGAGAGACCATGTCTACGTGGCATACCATCACCATGAAGAAGACAGGCCTGTCTTTGGGCTGTGAATCCGGGAGAAGGGCCCTCCCCATACACCCTTCTTGGTCATCCCTCTCAGGGGGTCTGTTTTGTGCCCAACTCTGAATGTTGCCACCCATTTTCTCCTGGACTTGAGTTAACATCGTGGGATAGTTAATGGCTTGATACTGACAAAATTATTTTTATTTTAAGTTATTAAAAGACAAATGTAGTAAACAACCTGAAACTCTAGCTAGGACCAGTGACTGGATTTATTAGGTTCAATTTACAGTTATAAACTATTATAAAGAAAGAAGGCTAAAATGTGAAATTAGTCTGCATATAAGCATAATATACAGAAAGCCAGCTTATTTAACTTTTGAAATTTAAGTTTGATTCTTACTTCAATGTTTTATAAAAGTTAATTTTATATTTCTGGCACTTTGATTGATATTATGCTGTTTTGAGTTACAAAGCTTCTCTATTGAATTTCCCTACCCACTTTTATCATGTTCTAATAAAATATAAAATATGAACTAACAATCTCATCATGTCCTTTATTTCTTTACTGCTTTCCTCACCTACCCTGCCTGAAGGAGCTGTTCGCCGTCATCTCCTGCACAGAGGAAGAGCCACCGTCCAGTGCCCTGGCCAGCGTGGTCCAACACCTATTTTTTTTTATTAATATTTTATTCTAAATTGTGATAAAATACACATAAGATAAAATTTACCATCTTAGCCATTTTAAGTATACAGTTCAGAAGCATTAAGTATATTCACATTGTTGTGCATCCCATCTCCAGAACTTTTCATCTTGCACTAATAATTAACGTTTTTTTTTAGATTTTATTTATTTATTCATGACAGATATAATATTCATGATATTATTCATGACAGAGAGAGGCAGAGACATAGGAAGAGGGAAGAGAAGCAGGTTCCATTGAGAGAGCCCCCTGTGAGACTCGATCCTGGGACCCCAGGATCACGCCCTGAGCCAAAGTCAGATGCTCAACCACTGAGCCCACCCAGGTGTCCCAATAATTAACTTTTTGGATATAGCATTACCAAGGCAAAATTTTTTTGGTGGGAGAGGATTTCTTATAGTAATAGGTTGTAACAAGAAATGTATTATACAACCTTCAAAGCCTGGCAGCTACATCAGCTCTCACACCATGACTAAAGGCATCATTGTATTTCTTGCTGCAGACAAGAACATGAGTAATATTCTTTTATGAATGAATGAATATGGGTAACATGCATCCACTTCTCTATCTCCCACCTCGGCGGAAGCTCTTTTTTTTAAGACAATACAACTGAATCAGAACTTTCTAGACAGACATCTAGATATTAAGGAGTAACTGCTGATATAATAACAACCCTAAAATCCTTGCAGTAGGAAGTAATATAAGTGCTTTTTATGGGAATTCCAAATATTGATGTCCTATTTTACTTTGCATGCCTTTGAGTTAAAATGCAGTCTGTGTGAAAAAAGAAAAAAGGTAGGCAAAAGGCACCCATGACAATGAGGAAGAACATCTGAAGGCAGCATAGAGCAAAGATTCACACTCATCCCTTGAGACTCAGTATTTATTATCATGGTGCTTTGATATATAATGTCTTTTTAAAAATTTACATTCTTTTTAAGTGTGTGTTTTTCAGACAAGGGTTATCTTACCATATTTTAATTCATTAAAGTATTTATCCTGGGAGCCAAATATTGGAGATGAAGCATTACCTTTTTAAACATTCCAGGTTCCATAGGAAAAGGGCCAGGTATCGCACTGGTAGTGTCAAGGAGCTGGGATTCCTCACGATGCAGTGCAAATGTCTGGCAATCTGGAGCCACATGATCTCCAACCACTACCTCCAAAGCTCTGTTAAGAATGGAAACAGTTATGTCAAAAACCTATTAAGAACTCTGGAAACTCAGGATCCCTGGGTGGCGCAGCGGTTTGGCGCCTGCCTTTGGCCCAGGGCGCGATCCTGGAGATCTGGGATCGAGTCCCACATCGGGCTCCCGGTGCATGGAGCCTGCTACTCCCTCTGCCTGTGTCTCTGCCTCTCTCTCTCTCTCTCTCTGTGACTATCATAGATAAAAAAAAAAAAAAAAAAAAAAAAAAACCACAACTCTGGAAACTCAAGAAACCCAATGGTACATTTCTGTCTGTATATTTCCAATTAGCCAAAATGAGGAATAATTCTTCAGCCTACATAGGATTGTAGATAATTTGGCAGTGTCACACACATTTAGGAATAAACCATGAGGACATCACCATGTGGTCAACAGAATTCTTTTAAACCTCATGCAGAAAACAAAATCTGAGCTAGATAGGTAGATAAACAGCATTTATAGATAGGGTTGGGCAATCCAACTTCATTTTATGATTTCTTGGTTTCTCTGCTGTCATTGCTCTTAAGAGAAGAGAAAAAGTCATTTGTAAATTTCTTGAACATTGGAAATAAAGTAATAAATCCATTAGGAGAGGGATCTAGGCTATGCCAGGGAACAGGAATCATTCCAGGATTAATATCTATTAGAGTCCAAAGAAATGCAAAGCAATGAAGACAGAGTGTTTTTGCACACACTGGTGGTTTCCTACCCAAAACCATTTCCTTTATTCAAACCCCCAGACACCTCACCACCACCACGTACTTTTAATTCACTAATAACCCTGATTTTGTTCAGATATCCATCCTCCACATGCCTCAGAGGAAGCCACTCACTTCTGGCTCAGTAGTTGATTGTAACTGGTCTATTCCTGGTGTCCTGTTGCCCTCACCAGTATCTGATGTATAGGCCTATACATCTCTCTTGCTAATATTACCCGATTGATTTAGGTCTCTCTGTCTCTCTAAATGATTTGTACTTTGCTTGAGTTATCTGGTGCAAATGAGATGTGAGGGGGTCTGCTGAAGGAATCAGTGGAAGGTCTTTCTCTTAAAAGAAGGTTTACAGAAAAAACTAGTTCTTGGGCAGCCCGGGTGGCTCAGCGGTTTAGCATTGCCTTCAGCCCAGGGTGTGATCCTAGAGACCCAGGGTCGAGTCCCACGTCAGGCTCCCTGCATGGAGCCTGCTTCTCCCTCTGCCTGTGTCTCTGCCTCTCTCTGTCTGTGTCTCTCATGAATAAATAAATAAATAAAATCTTTAAAAAAACAAAATAAAAGAACAAAATAGTTCTTCCCTGCAGGTCAGTGTCATGTCTGCATATGATGAATGTGACAGCCACTTTGGAACCATGAGTGGCATTAGCCAAAGGAGAATAGATGGAGCAGAAAGGGGACAAAAATATGAGAGCTTGAGTCTTCAAATATATTGTTGAGCAACTGGATTAACAAATCCGAGACCTGCTCTAATTCTAGAGTTCTCGCTATGGTACATAATAAATGCTCTATTCTTTTTTATTTTTTATAAATGCTCTATTCTTTAAGCCATTTTGAGTTAGGTGTTCTCTGTTATCTGCAATTGAGCATCCTAAGTGATACAAGGGTTGATATATTTCTTAACCATGTAATTAAGGCTGGAATAAAGATACTGAAGTCAGATAATGTCTTTGAGTGAAGAATGTTAATGAAGTGGAAAAAGAACTAAAAATCCAAGGTTCTAATAATTTGCAGAAGAAATAGAAGGTAGGTTCAGTTTTTCAATGGCCAGAGGAAGGGGAGGAATACTATAGATAGTCCAGAAGTGGTGCTTGCTCCATCCATAATTCTGAAGCAGGAAATTCTGAGTGTTTGTAGTACAGCCAATAACCTCTCACCTTCCCTTGAGGGCAGGAGGCTGATGACGTGTTGGCTGACTTCTCTTCCCTCTTGACCCAGATACAGGCAGTATGGCTGTGTACCTGGTTACAGGTGCCATTATTTCTAACTTGGCTCCAGGACTCAGTCAAGGAGATAGAGAAGGCCACAGGATATGTGGGCTGGGAGGGTTTCACAAGTAGAGCCCAACTTCAGGACAGTCTCTCACCCAACTCTAGATGCTCAGGTCACCCCAGGAGCATTTCTAGTTCCTCTCTAGAGTATCAGACACGGAACTTGTATTCATAGCAAACTTATTATGCAAGTTTGTCTGCTGAAACCAGTCTTCACAATTTATTACACAGAAATAATAGACCCAGAATCGTGCTGGAGGGTCCCTAGGCCATGCAGTGACTCTTTAACAACATCTAGCTTCATTCTTTCAGCAAGCATTTTGACATCTCTCTGTGTCATCTGTCAAAAGTACATAAGACCAACAAACCCACTCCCTGCCCTCAAGGGTACTAAGGCCTAGTGGACATAGGAGCTCCTTAAGGGGGCACTATTAATTCTGAAAAATAGTTATACAAGGAGTGAGACATGATAAATCTCCCCGGCCTACAAGCTAACCTTAGTAAGTGGTGTGTGCAACGGGAAAGGCCAATTGGAAAGGTTGCTAATTTTTCTTTTCCTAAGGGTAAATTTTAGTTTAACTCCTGAGTAGGCTACAGTTAATCATAAGAAAGGCTGAGCTTGGCTCCCTGGTGAGAAAGTTAAGATTTGTAAATGGAAGTACAGTTTTCTTTGTGAATAGTCACTACTGGTCTCTTATTAAGGACAATATCTCTTGGCTTAAGAAAAAAAGTAAGACAAAATAAAATGAAATTCCCCCAAACACTGCCATACTGATCTGGAATTTTAGCGGAGGAGATTTATTAATTTGCTAATTACAATCTGTACTTTCCTTATTTTCGCACATATGTTGCCAGAAATGAAAGAGTTTCAGCATTAGGTCATTCACTTTACTCAGACTCATAAATAAGTGGAATATTTGCCAGCTCATCCAGTAACTCTCCCTGTTTCCATTTTATTTGGCTTGGTTTTAAAAACCAGATTGCCCTTTTCCCTGGAGATTAAGCTGGTAGAAAATTAATAATGGCAAGATTGTCTACCTTTTCCTAAGTTAAAAGCCACAAGGCTATTTCCAGACAAATCTAAGCTTTGTGTGGCTTGAAGCTTATATGATTTGGAGGACCCTCTTTAAGAAAAAGAAAACAACTTATTTTACATTTTCACAATTTTTAACATTAGGACCTCTCCCGAAGGCTTGGGAGTGGCTCTTGAAGCATAAACCTCATTTGCTTCCTATAAACCTAGTTCAAGTTTTCCTAATTTGGTCTACTTCATCAAGTTGTTCCTCAAGCATTCTAATACACGTAGCCTTATATCAAGCCAATTAAATGAGTTTCTTTATCTGATAATTCTTTTTTTTAAGGAGGCTCTATGCCCAACATGGAGCTTGCACTCATGACCTTGAGATCAAGAGTCGCCATGCTCTACCAACTGAGCCAACCAGGCCCCCCTTTTATCTAATAATTCTTGCTTCAGAGATAATGTTCATGCAAAATAAAATGTGACACTGGGTAAAGTTTCGGTTTAACCACAGCGTACAAATTGATGCTGTGCTGCCATCTATTGTCTGCTGAAAGAACTCAGTGTGTTCCAGTAAGCCTTGGAGCTGTGATTTCAGTTACACAAGGGACTTCCAGCTGCACTGAGTGATTTCCTCATGAGAGCTCAAAACCCCGGCTATTAGAACCACACTTTTTTTTTTTAAGATTTTATTTATTTATTCATAAGAGACACAGAGAGAGAGGCAGAGACACAGGCAGAGGGAGAAGCAGGCTCCAGGCAGGGAGCCCCATGTGGGCCTCGATCCCAGGTCTCCTGGATCAAGCCCCAGGCCGAAGGGGGGCACTAAACCGCTGAGCCACCCGGGCTGCCCTAGAACCACACTTTTGAATCAAGGCAGTAGTTGTATAGCTACATAAGTTTCCTGGCCATGAAGAAAGAGAGAAAACTTTTAATTCACTAACTAATAATATGTGTAGTTTTGTTTTTGTTTTGTTTTGTTTTTGCTGCAACTGCTAAATGGTAGCTCTCTATTATTATGGACACACACCAGCAGAACATTCTAGACTTGAAAAGGCCCTAGAGATGACCTGGTGCGGTCACCTCACTGCAGATTTGAAGAGACAATGGTTCTGAGAAACCATGAGGCTGACAGAACTATGGGCCCTGCTGATTAGTCATGAGAATGGAACTGGAGGTCTGACTTCTATGCCGAGGCTCACAAAGAGGCAAACGATGACAGTGTCACCATAAAGCCATGTAAATCTGTCCTATCTCCAGAAAACAAACAGGTATGTATATTTACTTGGAAACCAAGGGTTTTAGATATACATAATGGGTTTTTCTTTCAGAAGCAAAGTATTCAGACTTCTATTTTTCTCATCTGAATAGGAAATGGAATGTAGGGGGAATCCCTGGGTGGCTCTGGGTTTAGTGCTGCCTTCAGCCCAGGGTGTGATCCTGGAGTCCCTGGATCGAGTCCTGCATCAGGCTCCCTGTATGGAGCCTGCTTCTCCCTCTGCCTGTGTCTCTGCCTCTCTGTCTCTCTCAGAGAGAGAGATTATCTCAAGAATAAATAATTTTTTTTTAAAAAAAAGGAAATGGAATATAGCTGTGGTGTGCACTCAGATTTCAAGCCCTACCAGCCTAGCCATTAGTTACGTGATCTTGGCAAGTTACATAATTTTTTTAAGCCTCAGCTCCCTCATCTACAAGATAGGGATGATAACCAGATGGTCGTGAGGATTGAATTAAATTAATTAAATTAGCTAATGCTCATAAAAGAACTAGCTAATGCTTATTAGCTTAGTACTGTCACATAGTAGGTGCTCAGTAAATACCAGTTATTTTAATTGTGTATATGAATGTCAGTTAACATTTCTTGCTAACAGCTTACTGGGTATCATGTAGATGTTACTTTGAGCTAGCATATTTATCAGGCTCAACCGTGAAATAATATAGAAACAAGAATGGCAGAGATGGGGGTACAGAAACCCACCTGACT